GATGAGGGGACGAGAGGATCCCTGAGTGTCCCTTCCCGTATCCCAGCCCCTGGAGCCGGGACACTGCATCCTGGTTCCGTGTCCGCTGTCTGCATCCCAGCATCACATCCCCGTTCCACATCCCAGTTCTGCATCCCAGCTCCGTGTCCTCCCTCTCCCTGCATCCCAGCATCGCATCCCCATCTCTGCATCCCAGCATCACATCCCGGTCCTGCATCCCGCCAGCTCCGTGTCCCCCCTCTGCATCCCAACTCCGCATCCCAGCCCCGTATCCCGGCTCCATCTCCCGTTCCCGCCGCTCGTTTCCCCCCCCCCCCCCGCAGTTCGGCTACGGGACCCCCCCCCCCCCCCCTGGGTTGCAGCGGGGGGTCCCCCGCGCCCCCCCCGGGCCGGTCCCGGGATCCCCGGCGGGTCCCCCCGCTCCGTTCCCGCTGCCGGAGCATCCCCGCCGCAGCCATGGAGACCCGGGATGCGGTTTCCCTGGCAACGGAGGCTCCGTGGGTACCGACCCCCCCCCGCCCCTGCGGCTCCTTTGGGGGGATCGTCCCGGGGGACGCGCGGGGGGACCGGGAGGACCCGGGAGCATCACGGGGGGCAGGAGCCCACCCGGGGGGTGTCCCGGGGCTGCGGGGGGGTCCCGCCCCACCGGCGGGACCGCGGGAGCCCCCAGCACCCCCCCGGGGTCCCCACCGCGTTCTGCGGGGCTCTGGCACCGGCCACGACCCCGCGGGACCGGCCCGGGGCGAGCCGGGGGTCGGGGGACAGGGGCGGGGGGGTCCCGGTGGTGAATCCGGTGACCCCGGGGAGAGACACCGGCTCGGTGTGACCCCGGGACCCCCCGGAGCTCCCGGTTCTCCCCCGCGCGGCCCGGGGGGAGGGGTGGGGGGGCTCTCCGGAGGGACCCCCGGCCTCACCTGAGGTACCGGGGGGGCTCCCGGGGAGGGCAGGACGCGGAGCTCATGGCGGGCGGCGGCACCGGGAGCGGCGGCGGGACGGGGACCCGCGGGGGCTGGAGCGGAGCCTCGGGTGGGGCGGGACCCTCGGGAGCAGCGCAGACCCTCGGACGGAGCGGTGCGGACCCCCCCGGCGGGAGCGGATCCCCGGCGGGAGCGGATCCCCCGGTGGGAGCGGATCCCGGCGGGAGCGGATCCCTCGGGAGCAGCGCGGACCCTCCTGCCGGCCCGGTCCCCTCGGCGGGACTGGCGCGGCCCCCCCGGGGACCCCCGGCGGGAGCGGCCCCGGTGCCGCCCGGGGGGAGGCGGCTCTCGTTGCCCCCGCCCCCTCCGCGGGCATCGCTCCGGCCCCTCCCGGGAACGGGAACACCGGCCGGGATTCCCGTGATTCCCGCAGGATTCGCGTGTGGGGGGTGTCGAAGGGGGTGGGAGCGGCTGGGACCCCGCTGGGATCCCGGGAAGCCCCTTCCTTCCCACCCCCGAGCGGGGAGAACGTGTCAAAACTGTGCTGAACACCCACATTCGGTGGGTTTTCACCCCCCGTCGCTCCGGTGGGATCCACATCCGTGGGATCCATATCCATGGGATCCATACCCATGGGATCCACACCCATGGGATGTGTGAGTGCAGGGAGAGCTCAGAGCCCCCCTGACCCCCCCAGTGACACCGAGGCAGGGAGGGGGGACAAGGACACTGCCACTGGCTGCTCCCTCCATCCCACATTCCCACCCCGATTCCCGGGCAGGGAAGAGCAGGACA